TCTTTTCGGGAACTACCGTCGTTACTGGGCGTGCCAGAGCCGTTGTCGTCCTCACTGGCTCCAACACCGCCATCGGAGATATCCATGAGAGTATCACGGCCCAAATCTCTGAGCCCACGCCTCTCAAGCAAAAACTCAACGATTTTGGAGACAATCTAGCCAAGGTCATTACTGTCATCTGCATTCTGGTCTGGCTTATCAACATCCCCAACTTCAATGATCCCAGTCATGGTAGCTGGACTAAGGGCGCCATCTACTATCTCAAGATTGCCGTCTCGTTGGGAGTGGCCGCTATCCCTGAGGGGTTGGCTGTTGTCATCACCACCTGCTTGGCCCTTGGTACGCGCAAAATGGCTGCTAAGAACGCCGTTGTGCGCAGCTTGCCCTCTGTGGAGACCTTGGGAAGCTGCAGCGTCATTTGTTCTGACAAGACTGGCACCCTAACCACGAACCAGATGAGCGTCAACAAAATTGTCTACATCAATGAGGCCGGCAATGACCTCAGTGAACTCGATGTTGAAGGCACCACTTTTGCCCCCAAGGGTGCCATTACAGCCAATGGCAAGCCCGTGAAGGACTTGACATCGTCGTCAGACACCGTTCGCCAGATGGCAGAAGTCGCTGCCATTTGCAACGATGCCCACCTCGCCTACGATTCCCGTACTGCTACCTTCTCCAGCGTTGGAGAGCCTACGGAGGGTGCTCTACGTGCTCTCGTTGAAAAGATTGGACCCTGCCCTCCTAGTGACACTCATCCGGAGGACTGCCTCCACCACGCCAGCCACCTGTATGAGAAACAACTTCCCCGTCTTGCCACGTATGAGTTCTCCAGAGACCGAAAGAGCATGTCTGTTCTTGTCCAGAATGGAAAGCAGAAGAAGCTTCTTGTCAAGGGCGCACCCGAATCCATCATCGACCGCTGCTCCCACGCGTTACTCGGTGCAAATGGTAACAAGGTTGCCCTCAGTGGCAAGCTTTCTGATCTCTTGATGAAAGAAGTTGTTGATTATGGAAACCGTGGTCTTCGTGTTATTGCCTTGGCCAGCATTGACGATGTCTCCAAGAATCCCTTACTATCCGCCAAGTCGACTGAGGATTACGCCCGCCTTGAGCAGAATATGACCTTCTTAGGTCTGGTCGGTATGCTGGATCCCCCCCGAGAAGAAGTCCCTGGATCAATCGCCAAATGTAAGGAAGCCGGCATTCGTGTGATTGTCATCACTGGAGATAATCGCAATACAGCAGAGAGTATCTGCCGCCAAATTGGCGTCTTCGGCGAGCATGAAGATCTCACTGGAAAGAGCTATACTGGGCGTGAGTTTGAGAACTTGAGTCCCAGTGAGCAGCTTGAAGCTGCCAAGAGAGCCTCTCTGTTCTCTCGTGTCGAGCCTGGTCACAAGTCAATGTTGGTGGATCTTCTGCAGTCTCTGGGCGAGGTTGTAGCCATGACTGGCGATGGTGTCAACGATGCTCCTGCTCTGAAGAAGGCCGATATTGGTGTTGCCATGGGTTCTGGTACTGATGTTTCCAAGTTGGCTGCCGATATGGTTCTTGCCGACAGCAACTTTGCAACCATTGAAGTTGCCATTGAGGAGGGTCGAGCCATTTACAACAATACCCAACAGTTTATCCGTTACCTTATCTCGTCCAATATCGGCGAGGTTGTTTCCATCTTCCTCACCGCTGCTCTGGGTATGCCTGAGGCCTTGATACCCGTTCAGCTGCTTTGGGTCAACTTGGTTACCGACGGCCTTCCTGCCACCGCCCTGTCCTTTAACCCCTCGGACCACGACATTATGAGGCGCCAGCCCCGAAAGAGAGATGAGCCTCTCATTGGTGGATGGCTGTTCTTGCGTTACCTGATTATCGGGACATACGTTGGTCTAGCGACTGTTGCTGGCTACGCTTGGTGGTTCATGTACAACCCCGAGGGACCCCAGATTACCTTCAAGCAGCTCTCTCGCTTCCATCACTGCACCGCCGACTTCCCCGAGATTGGATGTCAGATGTTCTCCAACGACATGGCCAAGGCAGCCTCGACAGTGTCACTGTCTATCCTCGTCGTCATCGAGATGTTTAACGCTATGAACGCTTTGTCGTCGAGCGAGTCACTCCTCTCACTGCCCCTGTGGAAGAACATGATGCTCGTCTACGCCATTGCTTTGTCCATGGCTCTGCACTTTGCCCTCTTGTACACCCCCTTCTTGCAGAGTCTGTTTGCCATTGTCCCACTTAACATGACTGAGTGGAAAGCAGTCGTCGTTATTAGTGCGCCTGTCATGTAAGTGCTCTGCAACTTCTATCTAAGCCAGAATTACAAGCTAACGGTTGACATAGTCTTCTCGATGAGGTCCTGAAGTTGGTTGAACGCAATTTCTTCATGCAGACGACAACACATGAGACGACGAAGGGCATCAAGGGCAAGAAGGAGATATAGACGAATAATGAAAGACAAATAAAAAAGAAGTTATATAGACGCGGCAACAATGTTTTGCATGAATGGCCTAAGCTAGATGGTAGACACGTGTATGATAGCCTGCCAGAGAAAGCTGGGGGAGGTTCAAGGGTACTTCGCAGCGGTCCGTGTTTGTACTAGTTCAATAAAAGCATTTGGAGTTAGAGTCAGAACAGGGTTGACTCGTCGCCGAAAAGCATGTGATAGGGCCGAATAATTTGTTGGTAGTAATTGTAATTCTCTGGTTTATTCCATCTCGACGCCAGCCGAGCATCTAGATATTCGTACAGCGCGTTCCAATCCTGCGATTCCTCAGTGCGCACTTCATCAGGTCCGAAGCCGTTCCTCGGCCTCACCGACAACTCGCTTAATCTTGTCTACCCTTTAGTAATCTCTTGGTAACCTTGTTCTTCTCAATGATGTACACATGCGCGCCCCATCCAGAAAGGGCATCTCGATCGACAGCATTCAAAAGCGCTTGCGAGATTGTTTCGAAAAGAGCATCAGGACCCTAAGTAGACTGTTTTAGCAGAGTCCCCCCTTCCCCTCAAGCACAGCCACACGAAAAGAGGAAAAAATGCATCACGAGAAATAGGACAAGAAAATGGGGAAACATACCATGTCCTCCTCCCACAAGCCCTCACACATACCAAACAATTGCTCCGACGCCGTCCCCGAAACAATAAAGTCCTTCGCAAAATCAATGCATCCTATGCTGTCGAATCCGCAGATGAACGGCTTGCCCGTCTTGGGATCCAGCCCCGCCACCACGGGCGACACAAAGTACGGACCGAAGCGGCGCTCGTAGAGTGACGAGGAGACGAGGTTGGCAAAGGTCCGGGGCGCGATGGCGCGCTCCTCGCGGAGGCGGTACATGTTGACCTTGTAGCGGAAGAGGTCGGCGACGGTGCTGACGTCGGTTGCGAGGCCCGTCAGGCCCAGGAATACGTCGCCGTACTGGAAGATCTTGGGGAAGTTGTTGGATACGGTGAGCGCCTGGAGGCCCAGGCGGAGGTCGCAGGCTATGGCGACGCAGTCTTTGCCAACCATGGCGACGCAGGCGCCGCCGTCTTGTGGAACGTTTGTTAGTACGAGATTTGGCAAAGTGGAAGAGACGCGGGCTACCAACTGATGGAGAAGGGGGATGACTGGTGGTAGAGTTAGCTTTGATGCTGTAATGGACGGAGGAGAGGTTGAGGCGTACCATGGTGTTGGTTGAGGAACTGCGGATCGAGCAGTTGCTCAGGAGGGGCGCTGAGGTTGTTCAATGGATGTCTTGGGGGGTAGTGAAGCCCTTGGCAGGAGGTTCGTGATGGTGGTTGTGGAGGATTGTGTGGCACGGTGGTTTCGAAGCTCCCGGGTTGAGTGAATGTCGTCGTGGTAGCTCAGCTCCGGCACCGAGAACACTGAGCGAGCGCCTGCAGCAAGGCAAACGCACTGGCGCGGCCGACGCTGACTGGCTTGGTGGAGACGCTTAGATCTGGAAAGAGCGGGTGGCCGGCTCTGATTGGTTGGAGCTGTGGTGCTGCTGCCTGCCAGTCAACTTTTGGGAGTATGAGAGATCGCAGAGAATGTCGACAATGATGGGCTATGTGATCAACCTCGTGCCCCGAGTGTCGATTCTCTCTACAACCACAGCTGAACCGATGAGCTTTTGGCTATTTTCGCTGTCCGATGTGCGTTGTCACCTCGATGTCGAAGCACGCGGAGCGGGTGTTCCAGTACATGTCGTACGTTTGACACAGGCGGTTGGTTTTATCGAGTCCATCTCAATTGCTAGTAACTTGTAATCGTGACGTTTCTCTAATTTTATTTCAATGTTGGGAAATTCTAGCACCTCGAATGGCGCAAACCTGTTATTTTGTCTGTCCAACACAGCAACTACTCCCGCACGCCCGCCTGATGGGAACAGTCCGGCTGCCAGGGGGTAAATTCTGTGGCCCGATCTGCATTTAGATTTCGCGGTCTCTATTTGAACTATCACGCGCTACACGATAATATAAAGTCCTATCAGACATTAAAACAATAAATAAGCATATTAGTGTATACTTGTTACTGGATGGATTCATCTTATACTATATTACTCTTTTACTCGGGAGGTAGTTATTTTCTGTACTCAAGTGCTAGTTGCCTCTGATTGGCTGAAGCTCAAGTGTTTACCTCACCGAAAGGCTGCCTGGTTGGGAATCTGGATCCTGGAGGCTTCGAGAAGAAATGACGGACGGCCAAGGCCAGTCCACTTGATGAGCAATCATTGAACTTTGAAAGGACAATCTAACTTCTTCGGTTTTTTTTTTGTTTGGGTCTCTCACATGAATTTACCACTTGTCTGAAGAGATAAAGTACAAGACGTCAACTGATGGACATCTGACACCCACCATTTGCTTCACCCCACCATTAGACTAACGACGGCATCGCCTACCATCACTGCCACTGGACTACCGTGTCTCATCCATCAGCACAGCTACATATTAACCCAGCCCTCTCCTCGAGGCTTTCGGGCTCGATCTTGGCTTCTCTCGCTCGCACCTCCGCTGTCGAAAGGATGGCATCCCACGTCGTCGTCATCGCCACCGACCTGCGCAGGGCGACTATCAAAGTCACCCCTGGTACCTATCTCTCCGATGTGCTAGACCAAGCTTGCCAGAAGCTCAACCTCTCCAGCGACAAGTACCTTGTCAAGTAAAATCGCCCTCTTCCCGCATCTGCGTCCCGCACGCCAGCCCTGTTCTTAAATTAACTTTTCAACAGACACAAACAGAGGCAGGTCGATCTCTCTGTACCCTTCCGAACATCAGGCCTTGCTGGCGGCGCAAAGCTCGAGCTCGTTATGCGCTCGAACACCCCGTCCGCCGTACAAATCGCCCTCCAAATCCCCCAACCCGACGCCAAGGAGATCCCAGGCGGCCGCTTAATCAAGAAGTTCCCCTCCGACCTGACGCTATGGAAAGTCATGCGCCAGTTTGAAAGTGGAGAGGCGAGCGCGGGGAAGAATATCAACATCACCGCGAGGGGTTATGCGAATACAACCAGTGGGAGCGGACAGCTGTATTATGAGACACCTGTTTTGAACATTATGGGGAGGGAGTTTTCGAGTTTTCCAGAATTTCAGAAGACGTTGGCGCAGTTGGGGCATAATTCGGGCAATGTGTTGATTCGGTTGGGGTACAAGAGGACTGAACAGACGCTGTTTGAGGCCATGGAGAAGATTAGTACATATTTCAAAGATGGAGAAGAGAACAGCGGATCCGACGTCAAGGTTGATGGAACGAAAACAGAAGCCAAGGAAGAGATTCAACAGCAGGATGATACGACGATGACCGACGGTGTGCCAGAACCACAGGTCGCTCAAGAGGATTCATCACCGTCACAGCCTGAGCTTGAGCCTGCCCACTCAACCGCGCCGGTAGAACAAGATGCTCCTAATGAGAGTGCAACAGCCTCCTCGCCCACATCACAGGATCCGTTTCAGCCCGTCAACGTCTTCCTCGCGCCAACGGGAACTACACCTGCTGCAGCACTGGTACCAGCCTCAGAGACGGACTTCACGCCAACCATCGCCCACGCTCAACTCCACCAGGCCCGACTTCTCGAGGGCTCGAGGAACAAACGGCTCCTCTCAGACAAGGAACTAGAAGAGAAGGCCGCCGCGGAAGAAGCACGCATCGCCTCCATTAAATCCATCCTCGTCAGGGTCCGATTCCCCGATAATACCAGCAGCGAATGGCAAGTCAGCCCCAATGAGACGGGAGCGTTCTTGTACCAAGCTGTGCGACACGTCATGGCAGATGCTACGCAGCAGTTTCACCTCGTGCTCCCCGGCGGCAAGGACATCATCAAAGACAGCAACGGGGAAAATCATAACCTTGTCAAGTCGTACAAACTATCTGGCCGGGTCCTCGTCAATTTAGTGTGGGAAGATAGTGTACCGGAAGCAATCAGAAAGCAGCCCTTCCTCAGGGCAAACGTCGCGAGGCAGGGACAAGCTGTCAAGGTGCCTGATCTTCCAAAAGTCGGTGATGCACCTGAGCCGGGTCCCGCGACGGAGGCGCCCAATAAAGAGGACAGGAAGGACAAGGGGGATGGGACGAAGAAAATACCAAAGTGGTTGAAGTTGGGGAAGAAGTGAGTTAATGATGTTACTGCATGACTTGGCGTTTTATTTCGAATGTACAGGGTAGAGTTTAGAAGAGCGAACGGTTATGACAATGGTGTAGTAGTTACACATGACAAACATTATGAAATTGATCTAGATGAACATTTGAGAGTTGGAGACTCCTTGGGAAAGAAGGATTGGAAGGTATGCTGCATTCATGCTGGGAGTGATGTTGGTCTTGAATAGTAAGTCCCGGTGGTACCATGGACAGACAACATTGAGTTGTGGGGAATCAATGAACGGAGATGCAATTTCATACCGGAATTTACTATGATAATCCAGTTGACAATGAGAAAACTTGGCAAAATACGGCGTCACATTCATTCAAGCATCACGAACACGAGAAACCACAAGTTTGAGAAGGTTAATTTTGGTATTCCAACGAAGCAGTAGCTATTTCACGTCTTTAAGATCCGCAAAACAAGCCCTCTCAGCTACTACTCCGCCCGCCAAATGCATCCATGTCATGACCCCACGCCGGTTTTTACATGCTTTCCCGCGGGAGAAAAGGAAAACTGCTTGTTTTTTCTCCCAAATTTTGCAACCCGATAAAAAGTGTCCGATTTCAAAGTCATTTCACCCGTCTAGAATGCGATTTAGTGGGCGCGGCGGGACTCGGCGATGACGCGCTGCAGCTCGTCGACCTTCTTCTTGGCACGGCCGAAAGTACCGAGCTGTCGTCTGGTTAGCATCTACGACACAGAATGAGAGCGATGAACAGGCTGAGAAAAACGTACTCTCTTCTTGGCGAGCTTACGGGCACGCTTATCCTTGGAGTTACGGAGCAATTCGATGACACGACGCTCGTAGGGGGCAAGACTGCATCCATATTAGCTTGGCCCAAGGCTTCGTGGGTTGAAAAACTTCGTTCGGCAAGGAAAATTCATCGAACTGGCTGGCGGGTTTGCAATCGAAGATGGCATCCAGTCTTGCCCACATGGCCCTGGGTTTCCCGTCCATTCGATGATTTCGCTCCGCTCGAATTGACATTTTTCGCTTTGGTCATGTTGCAACTTACCCAGCAACCTCCTTGACGACCTCACGGACGAAAGCGGTGCGCTTGCTCAGGTGGCCCTTGGTGCGGGAGACACGGGGCTTGACGACACGAGGGGTAGTTTTCTATTAATGGCAAACAAAAAAAGCACAAAATGTCAGCGTCCATCGTCTGCTTCGGCAACAGGAACCGCCTCGTGGAGGACGAGGGGGGAGCGGAGCAGAGATCCTCCACGAGGTGAGACTGTGACAGCACGTACGTGGCCGCGGTTCAGACCAACGGTCAGACCGGTTCTGGCGGGAGCTTCCTTGGCCATCTTTGTCGATTGGTGATGGGGTTGTCGACTTCGGCGTTGGGTGATGTCGAGGGGAGTAAGATCACCAAGTTCGGAGACGGGTGCCGTAAATTTCGGTGGATGGCGCACACACCACACCGCACATCCGACAAATTTTTTCGACTTGTGGGTCACGTGCGCGAGGGTAAGCGACGATCTGTGCAGGACTGGTATCGGGGGCACGGGAGTTTGATAAACCCGGTCTGGACGATTGTCGCTCCACAGCGGGCTTCAGCGGGGCACCTTCCCAAGTCGCGTCGACGGGCTCCTTGAATCGCGTCAGTCCTTTTGCTGCACATACTATAGAGGAGAACCCTCAGTTTAAAGATGACTTTACAGAATGGCGTTGCTCCCAACGGAGGTGCCTCTGCTAAGAGGCACGAAGAGTACCAGTATCTTGATCTGATTCGGGAAATTCTAGAAGAAGGAGAACAAAGATTTGATCGGTGAGTTGCAACAGACGCGTCGTTCACGACGTCACCCCCACTAACAGGATGACTCTGCAGTACGGGAACCGGCACGATCAGCATTTTTGCCCCTCGACCTCTCAAGTTCTCACTAAATCGGGACGGCGCTCCTATTCTTCCACTTCTTACGACCAAACGCGTCTTTCTTCGTGCTGTGATTGCCGAACTCTTGTGGTTCATCGAGGCCAACACCTCGTCCAAGGCCCTCAGCGACGTCGGCGTCAAGATCTGGGATGGCAACGGCTCCCGCGAGTTTCTCGACAACCTAGGCCTCACGCACCGTGAAGAGGGAGACCTGGGCCCCGTCTACGGTTTCCAATGGCGCCACTTTGGAGCAGAGTACGTGGATGCCAAGACGGACTATACAGGCCAGGGCGTCGACCAGCTCGCAGACGTCATTGACAAGCTCAAGAACAAGCCGTACGACCGCAGGATAATCATGAGTGCGTGGAACGCCCGTGATTTGCATCTCATGGCGCTCCCGCCATGCCATGTGTTTGCTCAATTTTACGTCTCATACCCCAGCCGCAGACGGCGGAACGGCAAGCCCTCTTCCATGGAAACAAATGGCGGCCCAACGAGCACGGCGCCTGAAAAGGGCCATCTGCACTGCCAATTGTACCAGAGATCCTGCGACATGGGCCTCGGCGTGCCGTTCAACATTGCCAGCTACGCTCTGCTCACGCACATGATTGCCCACGTGTGCGATTTAGTGCCCGGCAGTTTAACACACGTCATGGGCGACGCTCACGTCTACGCAGACCATGAAGACGCTCTCAATATTCAGTTGGAAAGAGAACCACGCCAATTCCCAGAGGTAGAAATCGCGCGGGAGAGGGGATGCGGCATCGACGGGTGGAAGGTGGAAGATATAATTGTCAAGGGGTATGATCCGCACAAGACCATCGCCATGAAGATGGCTGTATGAAGATGATGATGGAAGGAATATGCGAATGAACTACATTGAATTTCTTCTAGAGTATGGGGGCGGTAAAACTTGGCACACTCGGTCGACGTGGTATAAGGATGGGCAAATACCTAACGCTATTAATGATTGGACGGGTTGAGAGGCAGTGCTTTTGTGTTTGGTAATGGATAGATGGCATATTCGCTTGATGCGCTGCATATCGTATAGATTGCGGTAGATGAAATATGAAGTTCAGCGTTCTGTGAGCTTTGACGACGGGCTGAACGTTTCTTTCACTCACTGGTGAGGCTGTATGTGTTTCTCAAAAGGTCACGTCTCGAACCTACCTAGTACCTTGTCTGAAGTGCGATTCAAGCGCCGCGCAGAATCGTCCGCCAATAGCAACGCCTTTACAGCCTGCGAGCATGCTACAATTATGGCGGAAAGAAGATGATGTCTTATGCGAGCGTCATGACAGGCACATGGCCGGGAATCGCGATCTTTGACGTTGCGCAACGTGTTGCTGTATCATCAACCTGGGACAAATTTTACTCCAACATGATGATATAATTTTCTCAAATTCCGCTTATACACCATCCTCCCGTCCGCGGGCTACGATTCACTTGGCTGGCCGGCACTGCGAAGCCAACAAGTCCCGGTATGTACATACGACCGCCACGTGGGTTCATCTGACTGCTGGGTAAGCATATCTGTTTTCGCAAGCACGCAGCCGAAGATCTGGCGATCTTGGTACTCATGTTGCTTTCTCGGCCGGGTGTGCTGAGAAATACACTTATGCGACTCAATAGAGACCATGTGCTTCCCGTAGTGACGGCAGAGAAGCCCAGGGACTGCCGTGGACATGGATTGAGAGGGACCGACAAGTCGGTAGTCTGGCCTTTCCGTTCTGTAATGTCCACGGGCGATTATTTCATCATCTCCTTTCTGTCGGGCTGGACGCATAAAACATGTGTAGTTACACAATGGAAGCGGCGAAGAAGCAATCGCCAGCAACGGTTCGGCGGGACTCAATTGTCCGAGTTTGAAGGTCTCGGCGGAAAGAAAGGAGACGGCAGAAGACAATTGAAAGACGCTCTCTGCCCACGCAGGCATGCGTGAGACGTGTTGTTTGGGTGTTTTCTGCTGACCTGCGTGTCGTCGTATCAGGCGCTGGTTCACAAGTGGCAGCGATCTCGATGAGCAGTGAGATTCGTGCGTGTACGGCACGACAGCAAGGACGGCAACGCTCTCGTAATGATACGTGTCAAGTGAGTGTCATGCTCGCATGGTGTGCAGAAAGGGCCCTGCCGAGGCTGTGAATCGCATTGATGGGCCTGAATATCTTTGGTGCCTGAGATTCACCGTCACCAAAGGGGGGGGAGTATACTACCTCCCGTGGCGATGCGGGTGGCGGCAGTCTTTTTGCCAGGGAAAGGCAGGCATTCAGTTGGCGGTAGTATTGGATGACGCGTTCTTTACGCGAGTCGATCAATAATACTAGTAAAGGATGGCATTTGAGAGATAAATCCGGACAGACGCCAACCAAACGCCAAATGCCGCAGCATTTGTCGCTGCTCGGCCACCCGATCAATTGATAGTCGGCCTTTCCAATCCACCATTCCATCGTCCCTCGAGAGCCAGTCGGTCAATCGGTCTACAGGGTCAGTCGCAACAGATTGAGCCCTTTGATCCGTCTGCGATCGGCAGCCCAGACCCGTCAAGATGAGACGTGGTATACCCGCCAGTCGACCCAATCACGACACATGATGCACTTGCTTGGTCTCCAATTCTTTCACTGGGCTCTTTTCTATGCCATCCTGTTGGTTGTCCTGTTTGTACGTCGCTCCTAGAGGCGAAACATTGTGTGGACTTTGTTTTTGGCGTTCGTCTGTTCTTCCAAGGGTCGAGTCAGTATCGCCACCAACCCACGCGGCATCTGCTTTACGCGCTTATGAGCAGAGAGAATGTGTTGCAGGGGGGCACCCGTACATGTAGCCATTCTCTGCTGCATTAGCCCCAGGCAGGGCACGGCACGAGCGCTCAGTCAGGTCTTCAGGCGTAGCGTTACGTGATCGACAGGGCCGGGACTCATTGTCTTTTGCAATCCTACCGTCGATCCATTCACCTGTGAGTAGACATGTCCTTCAGAGGAAAACATGGGAAGAGAGCCTGCTCCGTAGGGAGGGAATAAAAAACTTCTTCAACCATGACGACGCGCAAGCCCATCTCCACACAAAGTGACTACGGGCTCGTCTCAGAAAGACAATGGCG